CGACGACCCGGTCCCACCCGATTCGCTCCTGTGGAGCCCCCATCGCCGATAGTCCTGTCACCCGTCATCTCCAACAGCTCTGCGACTTCATCGCCATCGCCATCTGTCTTCTCCGAAGCGGCCAGTTTCTCTGCATCGAGCCCATCAACACCTGCCACGTCACCACCTGGCTCTCCAATGGTGCCAACAACTCACGCTCGCTCGCAGTCGCTAAGCTATTTTCCGCCGTCCCATTGGACCATCAAGCCCTCGCCTTCCCCGATCTACGTCCCCAGGCAAAAGTTGAGGAGGAAGGACAGTCCTAAAATGGAGACGCTTCGCACACTAAGAGCGAAGGAGTCGGACATGATGCTGCAACAAATCTACGACCAACATTGGGAAGCATACCGCGCAAAACTACTTGTAAGTTCTGCCAACGCACCTTCCACGCAGCTCTCACTAACTTGGCGTAGAATATGACTAGCGGACTCCGCGCTGCAGAGCGACTTTAACGATCACGATTTATGACTTAACGACTTCAAGACGAGGGCATGCATGGCGTCACACGGCATCTGATTATAATACCCCGGGTTTGGATATATGGGCGCATTTAGAAACCGATTTGCATTTACGGTCTGCATTCACGGTCACAAGCGTTTTAACATATGGGTATACACTGTAATCTAATAGAGCACAGGGCACTACAGCCCTGGTTTGATTCCAACATAATCTTCGTCGACGTCTCTGAGCGAGCGAGCGAGCGAGCGGCGCACACTTTCGTGCTGCGGAGCCTCAGCTGCACCCATGCACAGCTTACATCACCCGCGCATGGCAGCTGACCTTGATAGCACGCAGCCCCATCGTGCTGCGCTAGTGATTGGTTGACACATCTGACAAGCGCAGCAGACAGCCTCACCAGGCCTTAGCTGCCTATTCTCCCCGCTGCACCCGCCACCTGATATTTCTTCACCAACTTTACTCCTTTTGGAGATGCAACTCGCAACACATGAACTCCCAAGGTAAACGTACATTGTCTGTGCTATATCCAGACCGCCTGCGCCGCACATCCGTCGTGGCGCAGCGCGTAGCCCTGTTCTGTGTAAAGGTGGGCCTGACCTAGCCACCATAGGCTAAGCAGGCGCGTAAGATGGCCCCCAAATGGATACCCATATGCCTCGAGCGTTCTCCATGTTCGCATTGACGCGGAACAGCACATCAAACTGTAGTTATGTGGGGGGTGTGGCACAGGACTTATAGGAAGCTTGTTCCCACTTCCCGTGGTTTTCGATGATTTTCTGGCAGCATTCTGAGATCGCGTTTCTGCCCTGGTGGCACGTCATTTGTTTCATACCCACAAAGCGCAGCCTTGTAGGCAGCCTTGGGACCTTTCTGCAGACGACTCAACATCTGACTCACGCCTCGTCGTTGCCACTGTAACACGTATCGATTTGGAAGAGGCCGCCTCGTGCCAGTCATGCGTATGAGTCGGAGGCGGGTTTAGTGTTTGACTCGACAACTTCAGTGCAGTATCCTACACTCACAAGCAAACGTCTCGCGACTGTATTCAAAACACAGTATACCATCGCCGTTCACGAAAACCCCGGATCGCCAGAAACTGATACTGACGACACCGACATCTGTTGCCTTTCTCGGCGCCAACAACCATGGAATCCTCGAACCCAGAGAGAAATGACAACGCGCCGCTGCGCTTGCTCTCGCTAGATGGAGGGGGTGTACGGGGCCTGTCGTCTCTGTTGGTACTTCAGAACCTGATGGAGAACATAGCCTTGGAAGAGAAGAGGTTAGGAAGGAAAGCCATGAACGACCACGAACCGCTAAAACCATGCGACTATTTCGACCTTATTGGAGGCACATCAACGGGTGGCATAATAGCCATCATGCTGTCACGATTGCGACTCGATTGCAAAACCTGCATCGCTGTATACAGTAAATTAGCAGAGCAAATATTCAAGCACGATCGATCGATAAAGGCTTTTGGCATGAAGATCCCCACAGGAGCAAGTCGGTTTTCCGGTGCCGTTCTCGCAAATGCCATCAAGTCTGCGTTGAAAGACCTCGGCTTCGATCCAGATGAACTGATGTGGGATGAGGCGCTTTTTGAAGAAGTGGATGAAGCGGCTGATCTACCCAGAGACAGCATCTGGGCAGATGCGCCGCCAGCGCCGGTAATCACAGAGAGTCCGGTCGGCACACTCAAGAACTCGCTATGCTCGTTGGAATCAGGCCCTCCTGAAAGTGTCGATAGCACGAAGAATCTGTCTACACTCTTTGGCGACAGTCCTTTCGGCCCGCGAAAGCCAATGCGAAGCGCTACTTGGAAGCTACATCACCGGCAATCAGTTCACAAAAAGGCAAACGCAAAGGGGTGCCGCGGCTTTGTACTTACTTCCCTCAAGAACGCGTTAGGCCTTCCCCGAATCCTGTCTACTTACGATCCCAATGACCGGACGACGCGCATCTGGGAAGCGTTAAGAGCTACATCCGCAGCACCGACCTTCTTCGAAGAGATGCAATTCGGCACACCCAAAGTCACTTATCTAGACGGCGGCGTAGGCTTCAACAACCCTTGCGCAGAAGTCGACTACGCGGCAAAAGCACTCTGGGAAGGCCGCTCCATCGGCGTCATAGTTTCCGTCGGCACCGGCCTACAGAGCATCCCAAGCGTAAAGAAGATGGCATCTTGGCTGCCCTTCGGCCTCGGAACAGACATATCCATAGCCAGCGCACTCACGGGCATGGCAACAAGCACCGCACGCGTCGACAACGAAATGAAGCGCATGTACAACAACTCCGACACTAAATACTTCCGCTTCGACGTCGACCGCGGCCTCGCAGACGTCAGCCTAGAACAATGGATGAAAGAAGACGAAATGGCCTCCCTAACCGAACTCTACATGAACGACGGCGAGCAAATCCGGTCCGCCAAAGACTTCGGCCAACGCATGGCCAAACTTTCCGCCTTACCCCCCAAATTCGAAATCAGCGCTTCCCACTTCCGTCTAGGCATGACCGGACGCGGTCTCCTTGATTCCTCCTTCCAACTCGCGCAGGTCGACTTCAAAACGGGTATGCCGCTAGGCGTTTCCCCGCACCTCGACGATATACCGCGCATGTCTCAATACCGCGACCTCTCGCCCAGTGGCGAAAGCGGACTCGCCCTCGACAACGCAACCGGCCGCCTCAAACGCATCTTTCCCGTAGCCGAAGACCTCGACCACGATGGCCGCCGCGAAGAAGCCGCCGTGTACCAGTGCATCAAAGCCGACAACATCTGTCTCCGCACGATAAAAACAGGTATACCACAAGGCAAATACAAAGTCCAGTTCCTTGTCTCCTTCCACAACAGCACGCATACACCACCTCGAGATCTTGTCTTCAGCGTCGGGAAACCGTTTGATCCGTCGACCTTCTCGCAGCGCTATGTCGATGTTAAGATTACGCCGGATGTGGGGAGTGTGCTGTTGCATCCGGATGCGGTGAGGGTTAGGGTCGGGTCGAGACGGTATGAGGAGCTCAAGGGAAAGGGGTGGGCGGAGATTGAGGGGGATATCGAGGTTAGTGTGGGGTTAGACGGGGCGTTGGGGTTTATTGTTAGTAAGAAGTTTGAAGATGGTGTATTTGTGGATGGATGGAGTTTTGGTGGTGTGAGGCTGGAGCCGGTGTTCGGGGCGGCGGGTGGGGTGGTGACGAGTCCGAGGATTTTGACATGATTAATTGAGCGGGCGTTATGGGAACGCTGTCTCGGCGAGTGGTCGGTAATCGCTCGTCGACTTTCGATGTTCACAAGCTTTGTTTCGATTCTCTTTGTCGGGCGTCTGGAGGAATTTATGACGAGCGCAAGGTTTTGAGGTAATGTTTATCAGACGAATTATAGACCATGTAGTTTACGTGTCATAGCAGCGAAGCGCATGTTTGTTCAAGGAAACAAGAACTTTTATTGAACTGTCTACTGTTTCTATTATTGAGACACACCCTATGCAAACACCGAACAGTGCCGATACGTGTGTTAAAGAGCGACGATAGTTGATATTATCGTGTGACGACAAGCCCTACGATTGGCTTGGCTAGCGTTGACCAGTGAGATCCATTCGACGGTGTCTGCATGTATCAGGAGCGAGATCCCGATGCTCAGAGTGTGGGGGAAGCAGTCGGGCAGGTGGTAACGCTGACGGTGTTGAAGACGGTGGTAGGCACGCTTGTGGTGGAGGTGATCGTAGCAGAGGCAAGAGTGAAAACCGTCGCTGTAGCGGTACCGGAGACGGGTGTCGAGGTACTATCATTGATAAGCGAGTGCATGATGGAAGCAAGGAATACAGTACTTACGTGGTAACGGTAGTCCTGGCAGTGGCAGTCGATGTCGCAGTGACTTGAGCCTGAGTGAATGTGAAGTCAGGACCGAAGAAGCCAGCACGCTTCTCCAACTTCGCCTTGGAGTCGTCAACCGCGGCACGCTTGTTCAGCTTCACCTTGGGAGCGGCAAACGCGACGCGCTTGCGGTGAAGCTTGAAGGTAGAGCAGCCGGAAAGCTTGCGTCCTCCAATGATGTTCGAGTTAACGCGGACGTCACCGATGCTGCCCTTCATGTAGCAAGCACCAGGCTTGCCAATGACCCAGGAAACATTGACACAGCCAGTAGTGTTGTCACAGGCTTGGAGACATTGCTCGTAAGTGTCGGTATACACGAGACCGTTTTCAACTAGATACAATATTAACTTGTGTGCGTTGTAACGGTGAACAGGGGAACTTACGGTCATTGCCGAAGCGGTCAGAGCTGCACTCGACAGCATATACTGCGCCACATGACGTTGTGACCATTGAGCCATTGGAACCAGGGCAGCTAGTAGCGCCTGTTGGGCTCGCAGCAGGAGCGCTCGATGATGCAGCAGGAGCACTCGATGACGCAGCAGGAGCACTCGATGACGCAGCAGGAGCACTCGGTGATGCAGCAAGGGTGCTTGATGGTGCAGCGAAGACGCTAGCAGGTGTGCATGCGCACTGGTATGCTGTGTTGGAGATCGTCGTAGTGACAGTAACGGTAGAGGGTCCGGGAGCGGGCGCAGCTGAAGTGACTGGAGCTGAGCTTGCTGCCACGGAAGAAGAAGAGGGGGAAACGGAAGAGGAAACACGGGATGAGGTAGACACAGGCGAGGAGGCAGCTACGGAAGAGGAAGCAGCCACGGATGAGGAAGCAGCCGCAGATGAGGAAGCAGGTGCCACCGAGGATACGGCTGCAGACGAAGAAGCGACAGCAGACGAAGAGGCAGGTGTCATCGAGGATGCGGCCGCAGAGGAAGAGGCAGGTGCCGCCGAAGAAGCATTAGTTGCCGACTTAGTTGAGATGCTGCGGACCAGTCTTCCACCAATAATGTTGCTGTTCGAACCGGCAGCGTTGGCTGCGCTCTTCAGGTAGCAAGGACCGTTAATAACGTAGCTGGCAGCGACACAGCCTGAAGTGGTAGAACAGTCTGCCAAGCAGCCCTCGTAGGAGCTGGGGTAGGTCGGGCTCATTGGGCCCGGAATATCGCCACCCTGGTAGTCGGCACCGCACTCGACTAGATATTGCATGCCGTTGACAGTGACCAAGGAGTTGTTGGAGCCAGGGCAAGAAACACTAGCGCCTGAACTGGCAGCAGGGCTGGAAGATGAACTTGCGGTGACGACTGTGGTGCTGACAACTGTGGTCGTGGCGACTGATTGAGAGGAAGCGCCTGCAGAAGAAGCGATCATCGAAGAAGATGAAGATACAGGGACTGATGCAATCCTAGCACCCCAGACATTACCGTTGGACCTAGGCGCACCGACACCGCTCTTCAAGTAGCAAGGGCCGTTTGGCAGGTATGAAACGGCCTGGCAGCCAGAAGTAGCTCCGCAAGCTTGGATACACTGCTCATAGTTCGCAGGGTTACCAGGCGCAACACCGATATCAGAGTTAGTGCGGTCGATGAAGCACTCGACGACGAAGTCTCCTTGAGGGGTGGTGAACGTGGCACCATCGCTCGCGGGGCAAGACAAGGCAGACGCAGATGGCGACGCGCTGGCTGAAGTGGGGGTGACAGAGCTTGAAGTGATGGCAACAGAGCTGGAAGCAGGGCTGGAAGAGGCTGAGCTTGAAGCCGGGCTTGAAGAAACAGAACTGGAAACACGGCTTGAAGAAGCTGCGCTCGAGATAGGGCTTGAAGAGGCTGAGCTCGAGACAGGAGTTGAAGCGGCTGGGGTAGATACAGGGCTTGAAGAAGCGGAGCTCGAAGCAGGGGTGGAGGCTGCTGAGCTCGACGCAGCGCTTGAAGAAGCGGGGCCTGATGCAGGGCTCGAGGAAGCAGAGCTGGATGATAGGCGTGCAGATGAGCTAGAAGAAGCGACCGAGGATGATGCGGCCGGAATGGAGCTCGGTGTCGGAGTGACCGTAGTCACACTTACGACGGTGGTAGTAGCGACGGAGGCTGAAGAGGGCGATGGGATAGGAGACGGTGAAGCGGATGAGCTGGAAGAAGCGGACGAGGGCGACACGATGGAAGCGGAGCTCGATGGAGTAGCCGTAGTGACGCTTACCACTGTGGTAGTGACAACAGAGGCTGAGCTTGGCGAAGGGATCGCGGAAGGTGTAGAAGATGTAGAAGATGAGCTCGGGACTGGCACAGCAGATGAGCTTGGCGATGGAACGGAAGACGCGATTGAGGACGAGCTCGGCGATGGGATAGCCGAAGGCGAAGCAGATGAGCTTGGCAAGGGAGCGGGGGAAGGCGAAGAAAACGAGCTTGGTGACGGGATGGAGGAAGGTGAAGAGATGGAGCTCGGCGTTGGCGTGACTGTCGACATGACGACCGTGGTGGTAGTAGACACTTGTGCCGACGATGATGGTACAACCGGGATGGAGGATGATCGGGAGGACGATGGCACAATGGGTGCTGGAGACGAGCTAGAGGAACTCGGTCGAGTGGATGTCGGGCAAACAGTGAAGGTCTGTGTAACAGCACTGGTGACCGGGAATGTGGAAGTAGCGATGTTTGTCTGTGTGCTAGTGGCAGAGGCGGAAGACACTGTAGTAGTCGCCGCAGGCCTAACAGGTGCGAACGCAGTGTTGGTAGCAGTCGAAGTCGTCTGAACGACGCTTGTAGCGACAGTGCTTGGGGAAGGCTGGTCGCCGAACGCAGCAGTGAAGGCACGGGGAGTGGCAGCGAACGGGTTAAGGAACGCATAGTTATCGATCGTATAACGGCCCATGTTGACCCAGTCGTAAAGGTCGGCATTCTGACAGAAGATGCCTGTATAGGTTGCCGGCACGCCTTGGGTCTGGTAAGTGCAGGTGCGGGTGTACAAAAGCAACGGGTTGGAAATGATGGGCGTGAATGTAGGCCTGGTTCCTTGATAACAGGTAGAAGTACCAGACATATAAGTCACCTGGATACCGAAGTTGTCGCCAGATCCAAAGCTATGCCTAGCTCGATCATAACTGAAGGTTGGGGTGGCCGACCCAATGAGGGACGGCAGACCCGCGGCAACGAGCGAGCAGCCTGACATGTCGGCTGGCTACTGGGGATCGAGCAAATGTAGGAGAAAAGCGAGCGTGCAGAACGAATGATTCCTGACTACAGAGAGCAGAGGGAAGCTCTTTTATGAATCCCTACCTTGCAGCTACGCGGCTACTCAATATGATGAGTTCATGGAGCTTAGAAGGGTTAAAAGACCCTGAACCACCAACCAAAACCGAAGGCTATGGGGTTACTCCGACAGGAGGGTTCTCCTCACGATCGATATTCGGTATGTAAATGAGGGGCCGGTTGGTGAGGCATTGGAGCATGCCATCGCTTCCACCTGGGTCGCACGGAGGGAACGCTAAACATCTTCCCGGGCAGGCTGAAAAGATGCACGAATGTTTTCGCGATTGGGAGTGTTGTGCGTCTAGGTACACCTGTGTTCCTGAGGTGCGGTGTGTCGTTCATGGCACGAAACCCTTCCAAGCCTGGAAGACGCGTTTGACAGCACGGACCCCCACTAGGCGTTTAGCGCAGGGGCGCCGTCGTCATCATCATGCCCGTTCACCCAGTCCGGCTCCATCTTGTCTCGAAAGGCTCACAGTTACATCCTCTGTCATGACTTCTACTTTCGATACGGATTTCGGTTTGGTTGGGCTACCGTTTTACGTACTGTATGTGCCATCTTGCTCGAAGAAAAATCTCTCTATTACCGAAGAATCCAATTTGCCAAACGTACTCCAGTCTCGAAGGATCTTTCGCCGAACATCGCATCATGAACGATCCCTGCGTCTCTGCAACCTTTCACATATGTTGGTAGGCTAAAGGAAAACCACAATACCACCCATATGTAGCCCGCATACCTTGCTAATGCAGGTCCAATATTGTCATGGCCGGCCCCTCGGTACCGTGCCTGAACAGCCATCCATTGCACAACACCCTCGATGGTGATAGCAACCGGCTGCGACATGAAGAATACGAGTTCTCCCATGTCTCTACGCGTTACCATAAACATTTGGAACTCGTGCACTAAGCAGCTAATTGCGAAAGACACATAGAGTTGAATTAATCCCGATGCGAGACTGCCATTGCGGAGACCCAGGAGGCGCACAATGCGAGCTGCGGGTTGCGAGATCATCTGCAATAGACATTTGCGTTAGCGATGCTCGCATACCGCACGGTGGTGGAAAACTTGGAAACGATGTAAAAGTGAAATGAGGAGTCAATCCCGACTTTACCTTTCTCATTGTTTGGTGATAGACCACACTCCAGACCTGCCTCACAGACCACGCATCCCTCAACTTTCCCATTAGCGGGGGCCATTGCCACGTTTCGCATACCCCGCATGCAACGGATCCAGCCGCCATGAAGCTGTAAGCGAAGTTCAATCTCTCCCAGACCCATATCGCACCGGACCAGCCAATGAGTGCATCGACCATAAGGTGATAGGGGCGGGCTTCCGATGGCAGCCACACCTCCGCAGCTGAACCCCATCCGAGTAGCACGAGCATGGCCATAGACCGCAAGTACGAAATAATCATCTTATGGACATGTCTGCCCAGAAAGGCCCGTTTCGAAAGACCTTCGTACGGATCGTCAGGAACGCTTTTGACTTGCCAATTCCAACCAATACCACGATGCGACGGAACCATGAGTGAACACACCCGGAGAACTTTCTGCCATGTCAAGCTCATGTCGTCCACGGCTCTTTCGCTCCTAGTGTCGCTGCGCTTCGGGTTTCCAATGTATGCAGGGGCACCGGGCCCTTTCTGTGGAGCCAAAATGGCGAATTCGAGGAACCAGAGAGGCACAGCAATGAAGAACGAGCTGTTGTAATAATCGGCAGAGGGGGTACCGAAGGTATAGCATGGTGACCTAAGGCATAGGTCTAGAATCAGTGGGAATATGCAAATGGCGATCCGACGCCGGCTGGGGAAAAAGAATGGAATGATGGTGAGGACGAATATCAGTGGTTGGTAGAGTGGCGACATGGGCTTGCGGTCGGCGAGCGGTGGCCAAGAGTACCAAAGTGGTGTCATGCTCCCCATCGTTTTCCGAATGTTGACTTCAACAATCTGGAGAGTATTCATTATTGCACTTCGCGGGCTGCAGTGAGAAGGTCAAGCGGGGTTCGCCAAATTGTGAAGTCGCATTGATCAGGCCACCAGTCTTGGACCGCGTCAAAGGATCCGAGCTGACGTAAACCCTGCCTACTAACTAAAGTAAGCACAATTGCTATGCTCCATTTCCTGGGTAAGGTTAGGGCAGAAAGCTCTCCTTGATTTCCCATCCTCTTCTTCGGACACCCTCATTCTCAGATGCCTTCCACGTTTCCAACATCAGTTTTAACTTATGCCTCGTCTCTCTCTTCACGATAGCTCGGTCCTCCTTCAATTCGTCTCCGACATGTTGGACTAGCGCCCAGGCAACTTCGACCTTCAACAAGTCCGGTGCTGTCAACCAGCTCAACCTCGTCTTACGAATGTCGCCTACGTAGGTGGCCGTCAAGATGCGATTGTTCATGAGAGCATCATGCAACAGATCGTGTTTCTTGTAGGTGTATAGGCTTGTGCCAAATCGCTTTTCTCCTCTTCCGCTATTCTTGGAAGATACGATGTCAGTGCCAAGGTAGTCAATCAGTTCGCGAAGGGCTTGATGGTACACTGGCCGGCTACTTATATCATCGATGATCGCCTCTAGTTGACCCGCGAAGTGCGTACATGCTTTCTCGCGGACCTCTTCTCCTTCATCGTGTGACGGCCATGGATAATCGAGCAGGAGAAGACGCCAGGAAAAGGTATCAGGGAGAACCGAAGGTTGACGGGCAGGGTCGCGCTCCCATCGTTGGTTGCGCAAATTGTTTACGTAGGACAGCATCGCCATCAGGATCGGTCTGCCGTGTCGTAACCACCAAGACTTTGCGAGATAACTGCCACTTATTATTCTATTGCAGAAGCCTTTAGTGAGATTGGTGTATGTTGGCGAGTCGTTCCAAACTAACGCCGTGAAAAGGTTGAGATATTGCTCCTGGATGAGTTTGGGTGTAAGAACCGTATCGTTGGAAGAATCTTCTGCGTACTCTAAAAGTTCGAGGAAGTTCGCAGACGGGCGAATGCTCCAGAGACTACGGTCTAGTGCAAATAGTCGTATCCATGTTTGGACTTCAGGAAGTGAAGCTAGCGCAGGATCAGCGACAAGCCGTTGATTCATGGCTCGCAAAGATGCCGGAGGTCCGATGATAAAGCACAGATATTCCACATATTCTTCCAGTATAGTACGCGGAACATGAGCTGGCTTGTCGTTGTTCTCGTTTAGTAGCAGCCTGTTCACGTACGGGTCTCGCGGGATGGATGGGATGCGAACGTCCATTAGCAGCGCATCTTCAAGCCCGTACTTTCGGAGAAACAATGCTACCCATCTCGTTGTCTGCTCTCTCAGAGTCTGCAGTACCGGCATCAAGACTCGGTCTACGAATTGCTGGAACTCGACCGTATTGTTCTTCTTGTTACAGAAATATTGGATCAAAGTCACCAGAACCGGTGATTCTGACCCATCCTCGAGCGAGATACCGGCCTGGATCTCGGGAAGCGCAAGGTCCTGTTCGTACTGCAGCCACTGCGTTTCGTCCAGCGGCTGTCTTTCGTTCAAAGATCCAGCTATTGGTATGAACAACTCCAGGAGAGTAAGTACTGCGCGAGACTGGTCTCGAGACCCACTCTCAAGCAGTACTAGGAGGCTCTTGACGATGTTGAGCCGGACGTCAACATGTGTGTTCATTCTGGAAAGTGTCGATAGCACTGAGAGTGCATAGTCTGTTCCATTCAAGTCAAGGTCCTGGAAAAGCTGAACCAACATCTTAATCGTAGTGACTTTTACGTGCGGCTCGCTAGTAAGCGGCGCAACATTGCTGTCGGCTGAACTTTCTTTATTAGTTTTCTTGGCCTGTACCATGCTGATAATCTCGTCGGAAAGAGATTGGATGCAGGATCTGGCCTGCGAGGCCGGAAGTCTTCGGAGGAAACTCGGTTTTAGTAGGATCCGATGCCACGAGCTCGACTTTGGTCTGTCCAGGATCGTACGGACAGCAGACTGCATGGCCAAGCCAGGTCTATCACTTTCGCCTAGCCGAGCAATGAGCTGCATAGCGATCTCATGCAGAGCCGTATGACTGTCGGTTTCCTCAACTGTGTCTGCATGATTAAGGGCTTTGACGAGGTTTCGTGAGAGTTGTGCTAGCAATGTGGGAGGTACCGTATCGAGATGACCACGTATGTTTCTGGAAGCAGAGAACTGATTCGGCTCATCCGAAGTGAGGAACTCTTCGTCCAAGTATAGAGCCGGGTA